CGGATGATCGGAACACCTGATCAAATATATGTTTCTTTTCTCCAGGGGATCTTGCCATATGCAGCTTACAGCGGTATCAAAGAACTGTTTGTTCCTGAAGAAAAAGTCGAAGAAGCCAAGAAGGAAGCAGAGGAACTACCTTCTGTTGAGCTAACAAAGGTTGGTCCTGCTTTAGTTAGGATCCATTGCGATTGGATGTCCCAAAACCAAAACCTAAAGAAAAAGCAACAAACAGCCTCACTCGCGAGAAACGCGTGAGGGAATAAGTCGCAGTTTGGTTTTAGATTTGAATCTAAGTGGTTGAGAGGGTGGGACAGGTTTTGTTGACCGGTAGCCAGGTGAAGTAGAGAAAACCAATGCTATAGAGGAATGCCATCGACAGTTTATTGAAAATTACTTTAACATAAAATTAATTTCACGACATTAGTTGTGTTAAAAATGGTCATATTTTCACAGCTGGATCTGCAGTGGGTACAAGTTCTTTCTGAGGGCTGGGCTACGCCTCTGAAAGGTTTTATGAGGGAGCGTGAATTTTTGCAGTGTCAGCATTTTGGACTCCTTCTAGACGGTGAGCGTTTCTTTTTAGAATCTTTCTCCTGAAATTTTCATTTTGAGACTCAGACACGCAGCTGCTTTTCTTCAAGGCGAGGAACTTTTTCTCATTTTTCTCTGAGTGGAACGTTTTTGCTCAAAGGTAGCTGACCAATTTGTGTCCATGTCTTCGTTGCAGCGGCTCTTCAGTAAAAAAACGGCTGTAGATGTTATATTTTCCCACCAAAATGATAATTGTAGGTTGTTTGTCTCACGTGATCTGTTTTCTTGTAGAGGGCGTGGTCAATCAGTCTATTCCTATCGTGCTCCCTATTCAGACTGCTGACAAAGAGAGACTGGAGGATAAAAAAGCCTTAGCTCTCCGATACGAAGGAAAACCAGTAGCTATCCTTAGAGATCCAGAATTCTACCCCCACCGCAAAGAAGAACGATCGGCCCGTCAATTTGGAATAACGCATCAAGGACACCCTTACATTAAGGTACCCTAACATTAAGATTCCCTTACATTAAAGTACCCTTACATCAAGTACCCGTTACATGTGTTCTCACGAAATTTTTGGCTTGTTGAAGTCGGTCTATTTAAATGAGAAAGTCGAAGATCATCGCAAATTGAAAGGAGAATCAATATTTAATTTTATTCAATTTTATTTATAGATGATTCATGAAGGTGGTGATTGGTTTGTCGGAGGAGAATTAGAGGCGCTGGAAAGAATCAAATGGAACGATGGACTCGACGAATACCGAAAGACTCCGAATGAACTCCGAGCTGAATTCCGACGACGCGGTGCCGACGCAGTGTTTGCTTTTCAACTTCGTAATCCAGTACATAATGGACATGCGTTACTAATGCAGGTAGGGAAAAAAACTATTTACCATTTTTATGACCTCGCGCAGACCAGAGCAAACGAATACAAGGGGAGTTTTCTACATGTTAGGAGGTTGTAGACTATAAACATTAGAAGTTAGAGCAACATCTGGAAAATTTTGTGAAAAGACTAGACTCTCCTCAACTCTGTCGACACAATTGCTACAGGTAGAAGAGTAACAATAAAAAGTCTTCGTTAAATAGGCAAAACTGATAACCATTCCATTCGATTCCTTGAAATCAAAATTTTTATTTCGTTTACCTTTCCCTCAGGACACCCGACAGAAGTTAGTTGACAGAGGATTTAAAAAGCCAGTGTTATTACTGCATCCCTTGGGAGGGTGGACTAAGCAAGATGACGTTCCTTTACCAGTGCGAATGGCGCAACATCATGCTGTAATGGAAGAGGGTGTACTGGACCCTGAAAACACAGTTATAGCTATATTTCCTTCACCTATGATGTACGCTGGTCCTACAGAGGTGGGTATTTTGACACGGCTGGAAACTCTCATGATGAGGCACGTTTTAGCTGAATTCTGGTGGCGGTGCTAACTCTCACCGGAAATACCTGGAGATGTGCTTGGTCTTCAAACTCAAAACCAATCTTTTGCGCAGCCTAAATGGCAACGTCCGTTTCATGTTCAGTAGGCCGAACACGCACTTTGACTTGTTTTTTTTTTATTTTTATTTTCGATCTATAGAGCATACAAATCTAGTACGGAATTTAAAGAACTCTTTTTTTCGTGATGAAGGGCCAAGCCCGAAACGAGAGTACTTCTCACAAAGTTTCACTTTTTTGTTATAGGTTCAATGGCATGCAAAGGCGCGTGTAGCAGCTGGGGCAAATTTCTTTATTGTAGGACGGGATCCAGCAGGAATGCCCCATCCAGATCCTAATCCAAAACGGGACCTTTATGATCATTCACATGGGAGAAAGGTATGTCGTCAAGGGAGGGAGATGGGAGCAGTTGGGGGAGAGAAAAAGGTCTCTGAACCAAGTCTTGCGAGATATCTACATCGTAACTACCCTTGTTTCGATGTTCTGAGTAAAAATAATGTACTGACAGAAAACTTGGTTCATAACAAAAAACTTCTCAATCCAGACATCCAAGGAAACAGAATTCCGTTTATTTTTCAAAAGCTGAGAGTAGCGTTTTTGGAATGACCAGTAGTATGTATCCCAGTCAAAGTCTCCGTCATCTCATTTTCTCTTGATTGATCATGTGACGCGCATAATCCGAGAGCATGGCCTTCTGGTGAACTCATCATGCACCATGAGGTTCCCGGTTTACTTGAAGTGGTGGGTTCCATTTATCCCAGGGACTTAGATTTTAGTAAATAAATTGAACATCATCCTTCAGCCTTTATGATACGAAGCTCAAATACTCTTTCGTTTCTTTTCTAGGTTTTAACTATGTCACCGGGTCTTACACAACTAGAGATAGTTCCTTTCCGTGTGGCAGCTTACAATACCAAAGATAGAAGGATGGAGTTCTTTGATCCTGAGCGAAAAGAAGAATTTGACTTCATATCTGGTACACGCATGCGTGCATTGGCAAGGTCAGGAGAGGAACCTCCAGATGGTTTTATGGCACCAAAAGCGTGGCAGATTCTGTCCAATTACTATCGTTCCCTCAACAAGAATTAATAAATGGGTCATTTACACTTAATGAACGGTAGCACCCTGCATTACACTACAAGTTCAGTAATTACATTAACATTTTTAAGTTTACTCTTTTAAGTCAAAGCAGGAAATGATTTTAAGTTTGCCGTGAATCGATTTAAAACCTACCAGAGAGAGAATTTGGTAGGCTAACTATTGAAGGAAAATCTAGGAAAGCAAAATTTCTTACACTAATGTTCACTTTCACCAGAAGTCCTCCTGCTTTGGTATAGACACCTTTGTAGCAATCATTTTCTTTCAGTGTTGGGGTGATCGTGAAATTTCTAGATATGTGTTTTTAATCAGCCCTCTTCAAATCGATTTGCGTCAGACTTAAGATTCTCAAAGAACGTCTCCACTGTCAGTGAAGTTGCCATCATCATACGACTAGGAACTTTTTCTTTGGTATAGTAGAATAAATCAGTAGTCCTATACTTCCCATACAGTGACTTTCGTTCGCGCTGAATTTTTAAAGCTCTTTAAATTAGGTATAATTGTTATAAAGTTACTCGTAGGTATTGAAATTAATTTTTTAAAAATTTTTAGAGAGATATTTCGTGGTAAATTCGTTGCCAAAATATCTTGATAACTTTACGATGTCTTACTAAATTTGAAGTTATGTTCAATTTTTTCATCTCGCCTCAGATGATCAAGTTTTCTTTTGTCTCTTGATGACTTCATCACTGTTAGTGGTTTGCACTCCACCCCACCCCTCCCTACTGAGTCATGTCTCGGTTTTTATTTTAGAGAACGATCGCCGGTGTACGACAGTATTGTATTCTTTATATCCAGTTGTTTTTTCTACAGGCAGCCCAAGTTCGATATGTTCGACAGATGCACGGTCAGCTTTCTATTTTTGAGGTCAAATTCCGGATAGTTGTTTGGTTTCTAAACACACATTTTCAAGCAGATCTCTCTATTTCCACTGTTGCGCAATAACAGTACAACACACATGTAGTCAAACATCGAGCTTGGGCTACCTTTGATTTTATGAGGACATTAAGGGTACATCAGTTGTGATTCTTACTAGTAACTCTTAAACCAGGCTTATTGAGGGTAAATATGAGTTGCCACCTTGTGGAATTGACTCAACTTTTTCTTCTCTGATAGAACAGAGTTCGTGCGCGCAGATAGGGTTTCACCGAGTGCGTCCTGTCAGCTGATATTACATTCAAGTTTCCTGCTTGCACTGTAGTAGAGTGGGATTAATCCAGAAATAAAATCATTAACCAACGAAGACATAAAACTGTGGTTGTTAAGTGTTTGAGAAAGCAATGTCAGAGGTATTCGTCTACTTTTTAAAGAAAATTATAAGACAAACAAGAAGACAAACGAATTACCAAGGGCATCATATTTCCACCTAGAGGTTACCATAAAGCGAACAGAGAACTCATGACAGCGTGCGAATAACCTTTGGCAAAAGGAGGTATATGATCAAGGGAAGGAAAGCGCTAAAAAGGTAGGCGATCTCTTTCCGTGCAAGCACACATTGATGCTAAAGCGTCTACAGACTGGGTGTTATGAAACAAAACATTGAAATGAAAAGTGTTATCTGAATCAAGAGTTAGGAAGAGGTTTTTGACGAGCCAGTCGGAACACAACGGCTTAAACCGAGGGAACACGCGAGTGAACCAGGAGCGACTATGTCGACCGTTTTTAGTTTGACACCTGATTGAGAGAGACGGTGGTTCGGGTTGAATCTCGACCAATCAAAAACCGTAGTAGAGGAAATTGACGTAAAACTGAACATCTTTAGAAGCTTATTCTCAAATCCATCTATTTTACGCAACATAAGATTACCCCGGAATCTTAAGCCCTTGTTATTTCGATCCATTGTCGCTAGCTTCTAAACGCTTTGAGTCAACAAGACTCTCCAAACAACACATTGTGCGAAATGAACAAATAAATACTGAGACTTGCTTGAATGTTCGTTGGATTTTAATAGCCGTGATTGAATAGCCGTGCTACTTACTATTACTGACATGCTTGAGATATTCGCAATGCGCTTTATAGACTCTAAATTTAATGAAAGGGTCCCTTACTTTGGAGTTTCAAAAGTTGCTTAATTTATCCTTTTGAGTCTTTGAGATCTACGTTTTCGATATTTGAGCATTTTCGCACCCTCGCTAATATTCTCAATCGCGAGAATTAAAGCCATCTGCAGCTACGAAAAAGTAAAAGCGCTAAATTAATATGAAGCGTTAAGTTACCTAAACTACTGTGCCAACGTTCATAACTCTAACACAAATTCTTTCTGACGCAGTCTCACATAAAGCCTCTAAAATTCATTCGGTAAATTTGTTTCCTTTCACGTTGAGCCTTTTCCATTTTAATCCGTGGATACGTTTTATTGATTAGATAGCTATCGTATGTTAAGACTGATATTTGCGTGAGCAAACTTATACTAATACGTTACTACGGAATTCAAGTCATCGCTTTCAGCAGTAGATGTGGCGCGGTGCTAGTGAAGGGGTCTCGGGTAGGTGCTCAGCGGTAAATACGGCGACTTAACGCCCTGAAAAAAAGAACCGGAAAACAACATTTAATCAAAAAGGTATCATAAACCTTACTTTGAAACTCGGGAAACCGGAAATATTTATGGATCGTGATTGAATTCCAATCTAATTAAAAAAAACCCTAATTACAACTCAGCGCATTATAAACTTGTCAGAATGTCCATGGTTTTCCAAGGACCACAGTTGAACAAATACTAACAGGTTCCCAGCTAAAGTAATCGTGATTCATTGATAAATCGACAGATGAATAGACAGTCCTATCGAGAAACAGAATAAAGGCCAGACGACAGTCAGATAAACTGACAGACTGATGGAAGGTCACACGAACGGGCAATGGTACAGACAGTAACAAAGACAGGCTAACAGACCGATAGATAGACTACGAGCACTCCCTCTTTTTCAGTGAAGTCCGTAGCGAGACCTAAAAAAAAAATCAGTGCTATTCGAGCGCCTCAATCCCAGAGCTCCTCGTGGTGCGACAACATCAATTTTTCTTCACTAATTTTGGTTGACTCGCGCGACGGACTTCCCGAAAAGGAGGGACTACTCGTAGTCTAGCCAACAGACTAATTGACGGGAAGAATGGACGGTGAGTTAGTCGATGGACATCTAAAAAAGCAGAAATATAAAGGAAGAAATGGTTTTGAAGTATTTAAAAAAAAAAAATACCCTTACCTAAACGTAATCGAGCTGAAAACATAATAAAAGAGAAACCAGTTAGTGTGTTTTTCTTAAACATGAACATCTAAGATAACCGTTAAGTGCGATAGAAGATCAGAAGAAGTTAACCTAAGGTATAGGGTATACTGCTAAAATGTTGGCATTAGCCCTGGAAATACATTTGGAACTTTAAATTTTGACTGACTGGCTCTACAAATGACTAAATCTTGGAGCGCGTAAATGACAACATTTTGTGCATACACGCCTTTTTGTGCTACAGTTTCTTTGGAAACTTACCCTATTTATTACCAGTGTAAAATGGTTAGTTTTTGGTGATGTAAACGCGTGTTTTTCAAATCCATCTGAATTTTGTGAATTGGAGACTAGCTGTTGTAGATAGCTCGTTAAAATAAGCAATGAAGCGAAGAAGAGAGAAAGAACTGAAGAAAAAAAGGGAGATTTTAAGAGTTTAAACAGGAAAAAATTTTACCTTCTGTTCTGATCTATAGGTGATTTCATATTTAGAGATCTTTTTTGATAATGTTTGGCTTTACATGGTTATGAATAATGACTTCTTTTTTTTCGACACGGTAGTAAAACTTTACCCTAGTGACTCCCAGTGCCTCTGTCCATCCCGGGGTCAGTTGGCGTAAATACCGGCCTTCTGTCAGGGAAACGTGGCAAATTGCCAAAGGGAGAGGGGGAATGCCTGAGATGAACGAACATCCCACTCAGGAGCAGTGAACATACTGAAATTATTTTGAGATAGAGCATGCAAGACTTGGTGCTCACCTTGGCAAACTCTCTGCCTGAAAATTTTTGCTTGGCCTGGGTTCTGTAGTTCTTCGAAGGACTCTATGACGTACACATAGTTATCTTGTCCGGCGATCTCCAACAGTTCACGGGCATCCACAACATTCCTCTTGCCAACTCCAATAGCAACCATCTGGACTCCCATATTTCTTAGAGGCTTAGCGGCTAATCCTAGAGGGGTGTAGGAGCCTGTCTTGGTCTGTTTACCGTCCGTAATGACAAAAGCCATCTTGAAGAAAAGAGGAGAGAAGTGTAAGGAAGAATGAAAAGAAATTATTGTCGTTTGCCAAGTGGTTCGCGACGTTTAGACTGCATACTGCTGGATGAGCTATGAGATTCATCGTTTTTGCATCACTTTATATAGCAAGATGTTCAGCCGTAATTAATTAACTTTCTACGGAGCTTGCTAAAGCCGAAGTGAAACAATCCCAGATAACTTTTAACACTTAGTTGAAAATGTAACGTCCTCTAAGAAGATCACTTCTTCTCTAAGAAGATCACTTCTTCTCTAAGAAGGTCACTGACTAAAAAGGAAATATTCTTCACCAAAGAATTTTGCGAATAACTCGATGTCTTTACCGCCTCTGACAGCACCATATCTCCCCTTCAGCGTAACGTGTGATTGCAGCGTCGAGATTTAAATAAACATAATTTACTGTTAAAGTTGTCAAACTACGCATAATGTGGTGATTTACATCGCTGTTCTGAAGAGGAAAGGTAAGAAATGTATAACTGATGAAAATACACAGGCAGAACTATTGTTCTGCTCAGTTATCTTTTATTTCGGTACGTCGGTTGACAATAATCCTTTCAGTCACCGTCAAGTCCTTCTTTGTTCTAAAGGAACGGAAATCAATTAAATACCTTCGGTACGTTTGATCTCATGCCTCGCCTTGTGGTAAATATGTCTAAAGCGGCTGTGTCTAAAGCCTTGTCAATGTAAGTCCGTCCTTTTTGCCACCGCAATCCGTCCAAAACATTGTTGACCTCTGCCACGTTAAGTCTGTCTCCTTGGAGTGTGTTGAAGCGCAGGACAGTTTCGGGATTAGTGCTGTAAGTGATCACAGCAACATGGGTGGTGGAAGGTCCTATGTCCAGTTTGCTGACCATTCTCTTCAGGAATCGTTTTGTTCGTTCCCAGTTCGTCTTACCAATGCTTCCAGAGGAGTCCACTATAAAGGCGATATCTGCCGCTTTTCTACATTCGGGTACTATGAAATGCACAAACCATGAATAAAAACGCATTTTACTTTTTCTTATGGCTTTTAGATTTTAGCTCCAAATTTTAGGAAAAAAGCACTCCCCTACCCTTTATTCTTGAATACCAGCCTCGCAAAACTATACGACTCAACCACCTTCACTACTCAAAGATCATTTATTGCACACCAACGTTAGAGAAGGTTCAAAGGAAGGTAAAATGTTTCAAATCGTTTCACGAAAGTCCAAAATTCTAGCTAATGAGTCCTTAACCCATTTAACGCCAAAAAGAGAAAGATATTGAGAGCCAAAGGTTTGAGGCTTTGGCTCCTTTGTTGCTATGTATACCTGAGTACGGATTGCGATGCACATAAAGATTGTCATTATATTAAGATTTTAACTCACCACATGGTGACCTCCTGGCAACACTAATTGGAGTTGAAGTGAGACACGCCTGTCTCTTCGTAAAGCACTCACTTGTGTCTTGTACATCATCAGAAGCACATACTGGACTGGACGTAGCAGGGCAGGTTGGACAAATACACTCTGATTGACTGTCAACCACTCTACAACCGATGTTATGAGGTGCCTTACAGGGTAAGATCTCACAAGCATCTGTCAAAAATATGACAAGAGTATGAAATATGGGCTTGAATGGAAACGTAGTAGATCCTAATAAAGAGGTCAGGGTTTGCGTTTTGAGGTCATTTATCAAAAGTTTTGGCAACTTTGCAAGCCAAATGCCACAGCCTTAAGTCTAAAGAATATGAGTTTCAAACTGTCAAGATCTCAATCTTGAATGTAAACGCCAACAAAAAAAAAAAAAGATTCTTGGAACAAGTAGCTACCGGGACACTAACGGGCCACAGGATTCATAGTTTTGCGTTCGTCGGGAAAGATCAACCACACTACCTCTTCTTAGGTTTGTTCCACAATCGGAGCAAATAATTTAAATAATGAAATATGGCTGATATTGGAAAAGAAACACCCGTCTAGATATTTTTCGTAACCTTCTAAAAATAAAAAATAAAGGTCCTATCTATCTTTTAAAGCTTAAATTTCAAGAGAAATCAATACTTTTTAAAAATAACTTTTAAATGTATTAACAATGATTGGTTAAGTGAATTTATCATAAGTGGATAGATGGTCTTTGTTATCTGAATGAAAGCAAAAGACTGGTTCGAGCTACTACGTACTGTCACATGTTTAGTATTCCGCCATGTTGTATGTTCTGCAAACTTTACAACGAGAGAATTCTCGATATACAACGGAAAAAAGGAATACTTTATAGAGTTCTATTTTGCGAAAAGCGTTAATTTACCATTCGTTAGAAAAAAAGACTGGCAGTGATAAAGAGGTAATGAGTTCCTTTCGCTTTTTTAGTTACCATTTTTAGAGCACTGTCGAGTATAGAGAAATTTTCCGAATCTGTATTTACTGTAGATGTATTACTTTCTCTGTTGATCTGGTTGTGTCAGAAATGGAATGAAAATATCATTGATTTCGACCAGAACCTAACATGTTAGAAGCTTTCATGCAATTCAAAACTCACCTTTAGCTGAGGCTGAAAGAGACAAGGAGAAAAAAAGTCAGGTAAGTATAACGATGTGATAAAGATACTCAAGGAACGCGGAGAGGGAAGACCTCTTTTGCATGTACTAGAACACTCACTTGGACATGTCTTTTCCACAATTTGCTTGACAACTGACTCCAGCTCGTTAAATCCAGGAGCAGTAAACACGTTGTCGTTGGAGCTTGCAATCTGACGCAGCTGGCTAGTGTCAACGCCTGATCCGATGCCTAAGGCGAACACTTCCACTCCCTTGTCTTTGATTCCTTTGGAAGCTTGATCTAAAGGTGTATATGCCTTAGTAGTGGTCTGCTGTCCATCAGTTATGACTATGGCAACCTAATGGAGAACAAAAGTTTACACAAAAACGCAAGTCGGCGGAGAATTGAATCTACAGCCAAAAAAAAATTATGCCTTTAGAGAGTCAAAGGTACAGGATTCACAGGATTAACTCGATTTTGTTTTTTTTTAGGAATAATATAAGTAAAGGCGATACCAAAAAGATTGCACGTTGCAGTAAAATCCAATGAAAGAAATGGAGAGCTTTAGAGTAATTAACAATTTTGTTGTATGTCTTTTGTGGAATAAACAAATTTGAAATACCTGAGGTACATTAGGCCTCATTCCTGCGCTTGTCACAAACACTTGTTCATCTGCCATTTTCAAGCCT